GTATATTGATTTTGTCATTCCGTGTGTAACACATCGAAATATTGTTCACAGACCCCATAAAGTATATATGTATATTATGGGACCTCGGTCTAGCTATGTCCGTCCGTCTGTCTGTTGTTGGCACAATAGCGTCCAAAAAAAAGAGATATTGAGATGAATTTTTCCCAAAATATTTCTTATTGATCAGAAATTTTTGGTATTGAAAATGGGAAAATCGGTCAACGATCGGTCAACATAGCCCCCATACAAATGTACCCCCCGGAATATTGTGGAAAGAGCTTCAAACATTCACAAATTCGTTGTTTATGAAGCAAATGCCACAAAATAACAAAATAACGCATAACTCAGTTTTTTTTACTTTTGAAATAAAATTCTGAATTATGGCGTACATAGGGCCATAATTAGCCCTACCTCCCATATAAGGTCCCCTCTAGAATATGACTAAAATACTGATTACAGGCTTAAAAATTCGAATATAGCGATGAAATTCGACACACATAAGTTTCATGCGAGCCAATATCTCTCCACCAAACTTTATGTGGATCGGTCCATAAATTACCCCCATATAAGGTCACCTTCAGAAAATGACTTTAACGCTCAATATTGACGTAAAAATTCGAGTATAACGAAGAAATTTCACAGAAGTAAATTTTATACGAGCCAAAATCTTTCTACCAAATTTTATGTGGATCGGTCCGTAATTGACCCTACCCCCCATATAAGGTCTCCTTCCGAAAAATGGTTTTAACGCTCATTATTGGCGTAAAAATAAGAGTATAGTAATTAAATTTCACAGAAGTAAGTACGAGCCAAAATCTGTCTAATAAATGTAATGCGGATCGGTCCATAATTAACCCTACCCCCCATATAAGGTCCCCTTTAGAAAATTACTTTAATGCTTATTGGCGTAAAAGTACGAATATAGCGAAAAAATTTGACATAAGTATCTTAGAAGCCAAAACCTTTTCACCAAATTTTATGTGGATCGGACCATAATTGACCGTACCCCCTACTTTAACGCTTATTGGCGTAAAAGTACACAGTGATAATTAAATTATTATTCCACCCCATATAAATTCCCCCTCAGAAAATGACTACAACCCTCATTACTAGCTGGAAATTATACATAAATATTTTAGGGTGATCGGTTCATAATTAATCATACCCCCGATATAAGGCCCCCGTATAAGGTCCCTGTAAGAAAATGACTTTAATATTCAAAATATAAAATTTTATTTATGTTACAGTGATTTGATGGTGGCTATTTAAGATTCGGCATATCCGAATATAATACTCTTTTCTCGTTCTATCTTGTTTTATCAATGAAATATGTGCGAAATGGATCTGATAAGGGAGGTATGACCAATTATATACCGATCAGAAAAAAATTCGCAGAATGATTTACATATAGACAAAATACATATATATATATATTTATGTCGAATTTGATCGCGGTATCATGTTTTATCAATGAAATGCGTGCGTTTAAGTAACTTGTGGAAGTAGATCCTATAAAGGAGGTATGTCCGATTATGAAACGATACGGAAAAAATTTCACAATGTGATTTATAAGTACTTTAAACACATACATGATATCTTTATAAAGGAATGAAATATGTGAGTCTACGTGGTTATTGGAAGTGGGTCTTATATGGGAACTATGATCAAAAGTTGGTTCCTTTAGAACATTTGGGCTATGATCAAATAATGATTCTAGTCCCAAATTTAGTAAATAGATTTTGGTTCCAACTTAGAAAACTTCATTATGTCGAATTTTATCGCTATACTGATATTTTTAAGCGATGTGAAATAAAAAAGTAAAGTAAAACATACAAGTACTGTTATGACCTAACTGACTTACTTATTTCATATCAATAAGTAATATAAAATAACGAATAAAATATTTATTGAAATATAATAATTATGTATAAGAAATATTTTTTTTCGTTGTCTATAACTGTTATCAAACAATGAAAAAAATAACAAGTAAGAGTGTTATATTCGGCTATGCCGAATCTTATATACCCACCATCAAACCTCGTTTGACTCGAATGAAACTTACTTGTGTCGAATTTCATCTATATACTCGTATATTTAGGCCAGTTATAAGCGTTAAAGTAATTTTCTGAAGGGGACCTTATATAGGGGGGTAGGGTCAATTATGGGTCGATCCTCATAAAATTTGGTAGACAGAATTTGGTTCGTATTAAATTTATTTGTGTCGAATTTCATCGCTACACTCGTATTTTTAAACCATTAATGAGCGCTGCAGACATTTTCTGAAGGGAACCTTATATGGGGGGTAGGGTCAATCATGGACCGATCCTCATAAAATTTTTTAGATAGATTTTGACTAGTATGAAACTTACTTATGTCGAATTGTATCTATATACTAGTATTTTTAAGCTAGTAATGAGTGTTAAAGTCATTTTCTGAAGGGTACCTTATATGGGGGGTAGGGTCAATTATGGACCGATTTTCATAAAATTTTGCATAGTAATTTTGGATCATAAGAAACTTACTTATGTCGAATTTCATAGCTATATTCGTATTTTTAAACAAGTTATGGCTGTTAAAGCTGCTTTTGGAGGGGCCACTTGTATGTGGCTATCCGAAAACGTGGACCGATATTGCCCATTTTCAATACCAAACAAACCTTACCTATAAAAAATATTTATGTGAAATTTCAACCCTCTAGCTCTTTCCATTCGGACTCTATCATGCTTTCAACAGACAGACAGACGGACAGACATGGCTAGATCGTCTTAGAATTTAATGAGGACCCAGAATATATATATTTTTGTGGGTCTATGACCAATATTTCTATGTGTTACAAACGGAATGACAAAATCAATATACCCCCCATCTTTTTTGATGGTGGTTATAAAAATTGAAATCAAATAGTTATGGATAAGAAAAAAAATAAAAGTTGAACTATAATAGTTACCATTTAAGAGATATATCATAAAACTTATAACTCTTATGTCCTTGCTATTTGCACATTTTATTGAATTGCAACTGTTTTTCAGACACACATAAAGAAAATAGCTTTTCTGTGAAAACCACTATTGGACGCACAATAATATAACTAAGCAGTTTTGTTGTGAGTATGACCAGGTTCGTATTCCGTGTTAGCAATTTTTTTGTATTTAAAACAACAACTTTTTATTTGTAAGTACTTACTTAAGTAGTGATTTGTAAGCGAGCGTGGTAAGTACTTGCTTCTAATGTCATCATCGTGTTAAAATAATGAGTTGAAATGCTAACGAGTAGTGAAAAGTGACTTTTTGAGCCTAAGTTTTTGCTGGGATATTGCAGTTACAGAAAATGAACCATGTAGTACCGCATTCACTTCGGAACTTTCATGTTTGATATCGTCTTTCTTGATCTAATATTATAGAAAACTCTAAAAGTAGCAGTTGAACAACGAATATTATAAGAAAGTTTCTAAAGTTTCGAACATTACTGTATATTAATTCATTAAATAAGAATGAATTAATATACAGTAATAGTTATACCCTACACCACTTTAGTGGGGAGGGTATATTGGATTTGTGCTGATGTTTGTAACATACAAAAATATTCGTCCTAGACCCACCTTAAAGTATACCAATCCGTCCGTCCGTCTGGCTGGCTGGCTGTCCATGTAAACCTTGTGCGTAAGCTACAGGTCGCAATTTTCAAGATAATTGGATGAAATTTGGCACGCACGTTTTATTTGACCCAAGGACGAAGCCTATTGAAAATGGTTAAAATCGGTCCATTATTTCACCTAGCCCCCATAGAACAGAACCCCCCGAAAAGGGCTTCTGAGCTCATAATTATGTTAATTATACAGATATATCGATAAATTATGGCACAACTAAGTTTTATAGAAGTCTTGATAACCCTGCCAAATTTCATAAAGATCGGGCCCCATTTGACCCTAGCTCCCATAGAAAGTCCCCTTCAGAAAATTACTTGAATGTCCCAAATTAACTTATAAACACAAATATCCCGATGAAATTCACCACAATAAAATATTATGTAAATATAAATATATTCGCAAAATTTTATCGGGCTTGGTCCATATTTGCCCCTAGCCCCCATATAAAGCCTCTTTCAGAAAATTAGTTTTTCATCAATAAATTGCTTAAATGTATCGGAACAAGGGAATATTGATGATAAATGTTTTATTATGAAAAATAAATCACATTTAATATTCATAACTGGTGTAGGGTATCATATGGTCGGCCACGCCCGACTATACTTTCTTACTTGTTTTTTTTTTTTTTGTACAATATATTTTACGCATGTATGTATATATTTAGAATTTAATGTGTGTCATTTATCACTGCATTAGACATTATCTTAACAAAAAGTGTAAAGTTTCTTTATATTAAAAGGAATTGCTTTAATTAAAAGAATGAAATATAATCATTACTAAGCACGAGTATAGTTCATAATTCAGATAAATTGCACTATGGGAATGCATAAAATCAAAAATTAAAAATCGTTTATTTATTATGATGGCGCCTGTCAAAATATTAATTGATATCTATATTTACAACTCTTTCTTATAAAATTTCAAATTTATAATGAAAAAGTGTAAACAATAGAGTTTGATTATGTGGATCTACCAATACATAGTAAAACAGGTTATATAAATTTAGCAGCAAGTAAACTGACCAATCGTCGGATTGACTGATATCTATCTTCATTGATTTTGTGTTTTTATCGTAAGTTAAATGAAATGTTTAATGAGTATTGTTTGTTTTTATGGAAAATATTGGCAAAAGTTTAAAATTTTAAGATTGCGATTATTGTGGTGGCCTGTGAACGACATTTAGTGTCACATCTTTCTGAAATACATATGTATATCAGCAAAAATAGCAACAAAAGTTATTGGTAGTGTTAATAGCGGTAACACTTTAGGCCATTTTTAAAGAGTTCATCAACTTGTTTCACATTGACAACTATTGGAGCGTATAGTTGTTATTATATCTGTAGTTCTTGCTGTTTGTAGGTCACACTATACAGACAGATATACACTAGATGTCTCTTTTCTAATTTTATCAAATTCAGTGTATGACTAAAACAACGCATCATATTATTTGACCATCATTAAGAAATAAAAAAAAAAAACGAAACGTACTTGAAGAATTTCGTTGTTGTGACTTTTGTTTCATCTGAATCATTTTCATACTGATAGTTTTTCTAATTTTTGGTATATAAACCTAAGTTCGATCGACGGAAAGACAGAGTTTAACTCACTTCTCAACAAGAAAGAACAAATCAAATACAAAATGCGTGCCTTTGTTGTAAGTTCTAAAAATACTAAAGGATATTAACTAAAAGTTTTTCCGCTGTAATTGGATACAAACAATGCTAATCGTAATTTCTATTTGATGTTATCTCATAGGTAATGTGCTTCGTAGCTGTGGCTTGCGCCGACAAATTGGGTTACAATTACCAACCCGTTGGTCACTCTGACAGTGGTCTTTCATTTACACCCGGCTCTGGATCCCTTGGTGGTGTCGGTGGTGGCAGCCTCGGCGGTGGCAGCTTCGGTGGTCTTGGTGGTGGTAGCCTAGGCGGTGGCAGCCTTGGTGGCGGTTTCGGCAGTGGCAGCTTCGGTGGTCTTGGTGGTGGCAGTCTCGGTGGTGGCAGCCTCGGTGGTGGCAGCCTCGGTGGTGGCAGTCTCGGTGGCCTTAGTGGCGGCAGCCTCGGTGGTGGCAGTCTCGGTGGTCTCAGTGGTGGCAGCCTTGGTGGTGTCGGTGGTGGCAATGATGGTGTCTCTTATGAAGCTCCTTCATACACTGCTCCCGCTGAATTGGAAAAGGAATTCTACACTTTCTCTGCTCCCGAAGGTGAATTCGATGATGCCAACGCCGCTCAAAAGATTGCCGGTAGCGTGAAACAAGGTCTCCGCGTTATCTTCATCAAGGGCCCCGAAAACAAGGGTCTTGAAAATGCTGCCCTCGCTTTGGCCAAACAAGCTGCCGAACAAAAGACTGCCATCTATGTCCTCAACAAACAAGCCGATATTGGAGATTTGGCCAACAAACTCAATGCCATCAACAAGAACAGCAACAACAAACCCGAAGTACACTTTGTCAAATACCGCACTCCTGAAGATGCTGCCAACGCCCAAAAGGCCATCCAAGGCCAATACGATTCTTTGGGAGGTACTTCTCAATCTCACAACGGTGGTGTTGCTCCCGTTCTTAACTTCGCTTCTCAAGCTCCCGTCCACTCTGCCCCTGCTCATGCTCCCGCTAACGCTTACTTGCCCTCATCAGTCTTCCGTAACTAAGATTGATTTAGTTTGATTGATAAGTGTTTTATTATTTTAAGTAATTTTAAACACGACTGATTTGTTAAATTATGTTTTGTTGACTACTGAGTAATCGATTTCGAATAAAAATTATTGTTAAACATTTTATTTAAAAAAAATATTGTTTTAATTTTTTATATATATGTATATTAGCGTCTCCCGTGGACCACTTTTTAGGAGGAATGCCTCTAAAACGATGCGTTTCAATGTACTAAATACAAGAAAAATTAAAAAAATGGGAAAAGTTTCTCAGTTCCCTATTTGCGATTGCAAATCTTGATCTCAGTACAACACAGAAAAAACTAAAAATATGTTTCAATTATCAAAATAATTGTATCAAGCAAGTTTTGCACCTATCACCAAAATGATGATATCATTTATCAAATTTGTAAAAAAATTAAAAAAATACTTTTTTTTTTCAAATAACGAATTAATCAGAACAATTAATATCAATAATTGAGACAAAATTTAAAATTGATTAATTCATTAATTGTATAAATTAAATATTTAATAAAAATAAATCAAATGAATTAGTTTGTTTGGTAGAAAATGTATTAAAAACCAATTAAGTTGATGATTAAAACAATCAAATTATTAACTGATTACTCACAATGTTAATGGAATGCTTGACATTTAACAATGCGTTGAGCATTTACAAAAAATATCACTTTATTATCAAATTTGAACATATAAAGTGTTTTACAAATTGTCAGAAAACTTGAATATTATATGCCTAAAATCGTATTGACTATTTAAGAATTATAAACATTGTTAGCATAAGAAATCAAAATAAAATATTTAAAAAAACTAAAATAGAAAAGTTGGCCAGAAAATTTTTTTCAATCAATTAAAAAACTAATTGAATCAATTAAAAATTTAATCAAATTTGTAAACTTAGGTTTTAAACAACGAGATAATTAAGACAAATAAAAGTTTGCTTAAATTAAAACTAAAGAAAGAGAAAAACATGTTAATTGAAAATAAACTACTGATAATTTTTTCTGTGAATATGTTCAAAAAAATATTCTGCAATCTTTTTGAAATGGGTCTCAAAAATTCCGTAATTTAAAATTTTTGTTAGTGTATTTCTGGCGTAGCAAAACGACTTTTATTATATTATAAGGGTACATATATGTCCCATAAATTTCAAAAAAATCTGAAATGGACTAAACCAAATGCCATACTACTTTGAAATATTTTTCTGTATTATGAGAATTTTGACGCCGATTTCGATAAAAAAAGAAAACAATATGGCCTTCCAACCCACTGTACATCAGTTTGTGGACCAAAAATATTCTATAAAAATTTTAAAATAATTTTTCCCGTAATCAGCTAAAAATGGCGTTTTAACCTGAAAATCAAAATTATAAGCTTGGGTATAACCCTCAACGAAAGACCAAAAATATAAATGAAATTAACCCAAATATTTTAAATATTCGTGGGTAAATTCGTTTATTTATTAGTTTTTTAACTTTTTCAAAGAATATTTTTTTTTTATAAAACTGTGTTCATAATTTTATATAGATTATTTAACATGGTGAATTAGTAGTATATTAGTTTACAATTCTGCTATAGATCACATTAATGGAGGAGGTGCCTCATCATTTTTTCTTGAAAGAATAACACCGATTTTTCTGCGCACGAGAAACTTTGATGCATTTTCTTTTGTGGTTATCCAATAACTAACCACCACCATCAGTGGTGATAGTGGGTTTATGTATATAAGTTTGTCATTCCGTATGTAATACCAAGAAATATTCATCTGAGACCCAATAAAGTATATTTAGCTATGTCCGTCACTCTGTCCGTCTGTTCAAACACTCTCACGTTAAAACTAAGCAAAAGAAATCAGCCAAATTCACTGAAAATATTCACTATTGCCATCAGCACTTTGGTTTAGAGAAAATCAAATCGGTCCACAACGTAAATAGTTGTGAGTAAATATTTCAGACTACCTCTAAAAAAATTATCTTTTTTTCCTAAACTACTAAAGATAATTGGATGAATTTTGTCACACGTTATTTTCTTTGCCCAGGGATCAAATATGTTCAAACTCAAAACAATCGAAATTTCCCATAGCCCCCATACAAAGGTAAATATTCTCGGAAATAGATTTATGGTTAATAACTTGGGCAAAAATATGTATATAATATGAACAGAAATCATATTACCAATGTAGATCTGTATAGGACCATTATTGGTCATAGCTACCATATAAGGTCCACTTTCGAAAAACACTTAAATGCACATAACTAATTAAAAAATAAAGATATTGGAGTAACATCCGACATAAATATGTTTTGTGTATACATATATCACTTTGCAATATTGGTCCATAATTGGGCATAGCTCCCATATAAGGCTCATTTCCGATAACCACGTAAACGCAGATATTTCATAACTGAATGAAGATATAGGTATAAAATTAGTCAATAATGTGTTTAAAGTAAATATGAAACATCCGGCGAAATGTTTTCCGGATCGGTTCATAATTGGTCACAGCTCCCATATAAGGACCAGTTCCGAAAATCACTTAAATACAAATACATATCTTATTAAGAAATAAAAATATTTTAAAAATAGGCTTCATAAATAATTTTTTCGAATCGGTTCATAATTGGTCATATCTGTCAGATAAGATCCATTTCAGAAAATCGCATATTTCATTGATAAATAAAGATATCGGAATAAAATTCCGCATATATTAAAAAATTGTATAAAAAAATTTTATGATCAATGCATAATTCGTCATAGCTCTCATTTAAGGTCCACATCCTTAAGTCACTTTTTCCAATATACTTCATTAAAATATAAGTATATACGAATAAAATCCGACATAGTGTGTTTTTTTATCGATAAATATGAAGCAATTTCCATGAAATTTAGCACAAGTCAATTTTATGCACCCATAAATTTTACGGTATAGTATGGCGGACATCGGTCATATTTGACCCTAGTCCCCGTATAAGGTTCTTAAATGCTGATAATTGGGTTTAAACTAATAGTAAAGCAACGAAATGTGACACAAAATATTTTTATAGGAACCTAAACCTCTCGACCAAATTTTCTGGCAATCGGTCCATAATTGACCCTACCTAGCATATAAGGTCCCCTTCACATAATTACTTTAACGCTCATTACTGGCTTAAAAATATCTGTATGGCAATGAAATTCTACACAAACAAGTTTTATAGGAACCTTAATTTCACTGTAATATTTTATGAGAATTGGTCCATAATTGACCCAACCTCCCATATTAGGTTCCTTTCAAAAAATTACTTCAACACTCATTACTGGCTTTAAAATATCTGTCTAGCAATGGAATTCGACACAAACATGTTTTATATGAACATAAATATGTGTATAAAAGTTTATGACAATTGGTCCATAATTGACCCTATCCCCTAAAGAAAAAGGATTTAACTGAGTGATAAATATTAGCATAAACATAAATATAAACATAATCAAGTTTCATAGGCGGTAAAATCCATCTGTCAAATTTTATTTTTATATTCACTTGGAATGATTACTTGCTAAGACTAAGTATTTTTTTTTATCAACTTTAGGGCAAAAATTCTCAAATCACATAGTCTATATCAAATTGTAGTATGCAATTTTTATGGCCCAGTAAAGAATATTATTTTGTAAAATTATAACCAAAAAAACTAAAAAATCCCACTTTTGAAAATTTTCAATTATTTTTGGAGGAATTCGTGACACTAAATTTAAAATTTTTTAAATCCCATTTTTGGAATTTTTCAATACGTTTTTTTTTTTGAGAATTGAGGGATTCCTGACCACATTTTTTTTTTAATTTTAGAACTAGCTCGTGACCAGTTTCGTATCAGTTCCATTCCCCTCAGGGAACTTTTATACAAATGTAGGAAATTTCAAATCGGCGCTTTGTTTATCTTTAACCAACGAGATTTACACGTTGAAAAGGCGTGGATTGGGGTTACGGTTTACCACACTTTAGTTTTTTCTTTTTTTTTGGAAAAATACTTATTTTCTTTTATATTATCTAAAACATTTATAAGAAAATGTATAAAGAATTTATACTTTTGAAAGCCTTACTTTATATGAAATATTTTGAATGGAAAAAATCGAAAATTTTGATACCGATGGGAACAGGTGCATGTCTAAAACTCCTATTATATATTGTAGTATCCCATTTTAGATGGCCGAATGTGTTCGTAATTTTTCTGTAAAGAGTTTCGATTACCCCGCGCTTGGTATGGAAATTTCCAACCTTTTTAACGACCCTACTCCAGTATTTTGATAACAGCGCACTAATGTTCAAATTACCAGTTTTCCTGTGTGAAATTCAAATTTTGGAACAGTGTATATAAGTTATTATATAACTATAGTGGGGAGGATATTATGCGTTTGTGCTGATGTTTGTAATACCCCAAAATATTGGTCCTACACACACATTAAAGTATACCGATCGGTTCAGAATCAAGTAAACCTTTTGATGAAATTTGGCACATACTTTTCTTTTGACCCAACCGGATAACCCGATTAACCAAAAATCAATGTTTTAAAAAAACGGTTTACAAAAAAAAAAAAAAAAAAAAAACGAAATAAAAACCGGGTTTTCGGTTAATCGGGTAACTGGTTTATAAACCGAATAGGACTTTTGAGCTCATAAATATGTTAAATGACCCAGTATCACTTCAAAAATCATTTTATATAAGTCTTAATGATGCTGCAGATTTTTGTAATGATCGGACTTCATGTGACCCTATCCCCCATACAAAGTCCCCTTCAGAAAATGACTTGATGGTCAGAATGAACTTATAAACACTAATATTACGATGCTATTCTGCATAAATAACTGATGTAGACGTAAATCTCTCTACCAAAACTTATAAGGATATTCACCCCATACCCCAAATAACCCTTCATTAAAAAAATTCTTGTCAACAAATTGTTAAAATATTTCCCAATTAAAGTAAAAATAAAATTAAATACCTTATTAAACAAATAATCAAAATTTTTAATATAATCACTAGTGTAGTATCATATGGTCGGCCATGCCCGATTACAAACTCTTATTTTTTTATACCCTCCACCACCATCAGTGGTAATAGGGGGTATATATAAGTTTGTCTTTCCGTGTGTAACACCAAGAAATATTCATCTGAGATCCAACAAAGTATGTATATATATTCTGGGACCTTATGAAATTCTGAGTCGATTTAGCTATGTCCGTCCGTCCGTCTGTCTGTCTGTGTAAAACACGCTCACGTTAAAACAAAGCAATATAATTTAACCAAATTCACCCAAAATATTCTTTATTATCCGGTACAGTTTGGTATTGAAAATGTGCCCAATCGGTTCACATCGGAAAAAGTTATGAATTAAAATTTAAAACAACTCCGAAAAATAAGCATTTTTTACACATTCTGAAGTAATTTTCTCGAAAACTATGTAAGATAATTTCATGAAAGTCTTCATACATGGTTTTTTTTTAATAACTTCCGTCAGAATGTTGATATCTTCACAAAATTTTACAAATTAAAATCTTATGTCAATGGAATTCATTGAGAGAAAAAATTTTCTGGATCGGTCCATAATTGGACATAGCTATAGCTATAGGTATACAAAATATATATAGCTATAGGTATACAAAAATTCTATTTTAAGATTTTTTCACGATCGGTGCATAACATGGGTGCGGTCGGTCCCATGCAAGTGTCCCTTCAGAAAATCACTTGAACACACATTACTTATTAATAAATTACGATATAGATACAAAATTTGACTGAAATATAGCTTTTATGTTTCGAATTTCATTGCTGTTCTCGTATTTTTAATTCAGTCATAAGCGTGAATGTAATTATCTGAAGGCGACCTTTTATGAGGGATAATTATGAATCGATACCCAAATAATTTTGTACATAGATTATGTTTTGTCGGCTATGGTCAGCTATAGACCAATCTTTATAAAATTCGGAATGAAGAATTATAATAAATTTTTTATGGCGAGTACAACTATGAAGAACTTGTAAATTTTAAGTCTCTAGCTCTTTCCGTTCGAACCCTATCGTTCTTTCAAAAGACAGAAGGACATGGCTAGATCGTCTTAGAATTTAATAAGGACCCAGAATATATATTCTTTTGTGGGTCTAAGACCAATATATCGATGTGTTATAAACGGAGTGACAAAATCAATATCCTTTTTGATTGTGGGTATAAAAAATTGTAATAGTTGTGTTGCCAACTTCCACCACATAGCTTGGGGTACTACAAACACCAATCGCTACGGACAAGCCTTCATGTATTTCCTTAATACTAAAGACTTGATCACGTTTAACATAGGTAATAAAGCTTCGTCAATAGAATCAGCTTATAAACGAAATTCAGGATTGGAGAGTTTTGGACGAGCACTCCTTTCGGACCATCGGTACGTAAAATTCAAAATAATAATGCCACCACCTAAGCTGAATAAGTCTATGACTAATTGGACAATGTTCGATACCTTACGAAAGAACCGTTTATGTCAGGACACTCTTCAATATCGAAATAAAGCTCTCAAGTGCCCTGTTTGAATCATTCGAGCGGAGATCTGCCCAGGAAAAACCCTGGGTAACAGGTGAAATCCGGAACCTGTGTGAGCAAGTGGTGCCATGTGTACTAAATTGGGGGACAAAGTCGACCTGGGGTTCTATATTGAAGACCCAGAAGCAGAAATATACTACCGTTTACCTAATCATAACGCAAGCTTCCAGGCAGAAGTCCGAGCAATAACGGAATGTTTAAATTGGATTAGAATAAATATAGCGCCTACAGGGCTTAATATGTTAACCGACAGCCATTAGGGAGATATTATGTGATAGATTTAAATCTAAGAACGTATTGGATTGTATGAAAACTTTAACTGAATATTCTCTCAGAGGTAAGGTTTACATCATGTGGGTACCAGGACACTCGGGAGTAGTCGGCAACGAAAGGGCGAATGCAATAGCTTTAAAGGGAAGACCGCTCGAGGTAGTTAACCTGACGAACGCAAAGCCTTTGGACGCAACAAAAGTTGAATTTAAAATATGGGAGAGAGAATCCCATAAAGCTTCTTGAAATAATGAAACGGTGGATAGAACCACAAAGACCCTATGGGATGACCCTGATGAGAGCAAGACGAGAAATCTCTTCAAAATTAGCAAGTCTGAGGTTAGTATGATGGTACGTATTCTGAGTGGACACACAGGATTACGATCACATCTATACAAAATTCAGACGAATGGAGCACTCTCGAAGTTAGATCCAAGTATCTTGGAAGTGATTAGGATTTGGGTTGACAAAACTTTTTTACAAATCTTATTTTTATTAAACCTTTATTTGCAAATTTTAGTAATACGAAAAAGAAGAAAAAAGTAGAAACATAAAACATTAAGTTGTATGAAATTCCTAATTTTTTTCTTAGTCCCAATAAAAAAAAAAAATATGTTCAGATAATTTTTATAAAATCAAATCTAGTTTATTTATTCTGGCTTTTAGTTTTATATTTTTATTGTTTATTGAAAGTGCAAACAAGTTAATGAAATGAAAAAAAACTGGAATACTGAGCGTAAATTATTATCCCACAACAACCGGTACCGGTAAAAGTGTTGCCGACGACAACCGTTCTATTTTAACTACTGCTAAAAATATACATGTATACATTAGAGCAGAAAGGGGAGATCATTACGAATGGCCTGGCTTGAATTCTGAAATAAAAAACCTTCTTCAATGTCAACAGTCGTCATTCGATTAGAACATTTCAAAGTTGACAACTGAAGTAAAGAACGGAGTTAAACAGCTCAATAAGCAAAATGCGCACCTTTATTTTATTGTGTTTGTTAGCTGTGGCTTGCGCCGACAAATTGGGTTACAACTACAGACCTGTTGAACACTCAAACTCAGGATTATCATTTACTCCCGGTTCTGTGGGAGGTGGGTTTTCCTCATCATATGGTGCTCCACACACTTCTGGATTTTCTTCTGGTGTAGGTGGCGGTTTAGCTGGTCCTGTATCTTATAATGCACCTGCTAACACCGGTGGTTACCACACGGAATTCTATACATTTACAGCCCCAGAAGGTGCTTTCGATGATCCAGAAGCAGTCCAAAAGATTGTTGGCTCTTTGAAGAAGAACATTCGCGTTATTTTCATTAAGAACCCAGAAAACAAAGCTTACGAAAATGCCGTACTTGCTTTGGCCAAACAAGCTGCCGAACAAAAGACTGCCATCTATGTGCTCAACAAACAGCATGACATCTCTGCTTTGGCTGAAAAATTCAATGCCATAAACAACAACCAAAATGCCAGACCCGAAGTACATTTTGTTAAATACCGCACACCAGAGGATGCTGCTAATGCGCAAAGAGCTATTCAAAGCCAATATGACTCTTTGGGTGGTACCACTCAAAATCACAATGGTGGTGTTGCTCCTGTTATTAACTTTGCTTCCCAAGCTCCTATATTTTCTCATGGTTCAGTTCAATCTCCCAACAGTGTGTACTTACCATCATCCGTATTCCGTCGCTTCCGTGTTTAAAAGTGAAGTGCAATGAATTCGTATCTTCAGTTGTGCTAAAGATCAATACTGTATTACTTATGTGTTAATTGTTTAATTAATTTATTTATTTGTTTAAAATGTTACGAAATAATTTAAACTTTTATATCTTTTGCCGTTTTCTTTATAAAAAATATTAGAAATCTAATGAGTTGTTTCTAGATAACGTGCGAATACTTTGAGAACAAATTTTACCTCGAAGTAGTTGATCTACAAAAATAAATATTAAAATGCACGTTTAGCAATCTAGGTTCATACATAAAGTTCTCAATGAGTATTTAGGTAAAAATTATGGGACTAATACCATTGATACCGTATGTGCCTTTTTCGTTTTTTCTTAACGTGCAATATGTAAATTTAAATATTTGTAACATTAATAAAGATTTCTTGTTAACATTTATTGCAATCATTAGCTGTGAACAGATGTTATTATTCGTTAATATGTAAATATATTTTTCTGAGAACCTTCCTTTAGCCCATAGTGCGATGTCTTTCCTAAAATTACGGTAGGGTCACTAGTCGAAATTATGAATGTAATTTGAAACAAGTAAGAAGGTATTGTCGGCCGTGGCCAACCATATGAGTCCCTACACTAGTTATGAATATTAAATGTTATTTATTTATCATAATAAGTCATTTATCTTAAATATTACCTTGATTCCGATTTATTCAAGAAATTTTAACCGATACCGATTTTAACCATTTCAATAGGCTTCGATCTTGGGTCAAAAGAAACGTATGCGCCAAATTTTATTAAATTATCTAGACATGTGCGACATGTACTTTGATTACAACGTTAACGTTAGATTGACTGAGAAAGTGATTCTGAAGCAATCGTGGGTACAGCACTAATCAAGGTATATTAATTTTATAAGGTAGTGTCATCGGCGAATTCAGAATACCAAGCGAATTAGTTATATTTTTTTATATGTAGTTTGACATTGTGCCTGCACTTGAAAGCGAATTGGCTGTAAGGGAAAAATTTCAAAAACAGCTGACAATAAATCAAAGCGAATTTATATTAAACAAAAAATGTTTATAAATTTGAATCTGTTTATAATTTATTTTGATGTTTAAACTTTTAAAAATTAAAAACACAAAAATATACCCTATTCACACAATTTCACTTTAATCACAAAATTCACATATACAAAATGAAACCAGTTTGACATTAACTAAATGAAAACAAAGTTTGACATTTACAAAATGTAAACAAAGTTTGGCATTAATTATACACTACGGCGAAAAATGAACATAATAGCAAAAAACGATCAGCTGTTCTGATAACACTACCTTATAATTAATATATCTTGGTACTAATATTTGGGTATAGTACTAATATTTGAGTACGGTTGGGTTCGAACTGACTCCTGTCATATTATTTCGACACACATAGGAATCCTGATATATTGGCTGGGTATTCCGGACTACCAAATACGTGTCTAGGTGCTGTTGCCAGAGCCATCTCAGTAGTGTGGTTGCGCGGGCTTTAAGAGGTTAAGGAATGCACTGAAATGGGTCATTAGTTGATGAGTATGGCATTTTAAATAATGCAATCTTTCATGACATCATAAGGGTGGTCACCTTCCGGTATACCGGAAGATTGATTTCACCTGATGTTGGGGTAGTGGCCCCTTCTATTGACTTTAGACCAGTGATTGCTTTTTCCTTGTCGGGGTTTGCATTCGGATTGATCCCTTGCTGCCTGTCATTCCACAACGGAGCTACTATGGCAAGAGATTATATAGCTCGAGTTGTTCATAGAAGGTTTCAGGGGAGCGTGGTAGACCGTCTCTAGTCTACCCAGTGGAGGAAAAAGACCACCGTGAAATAAGGCCGTCAAAGCAAGTGTTCACGTTAAGCATTCGACATTCGTGTTCCAAATGTGCTGCTAACTGTTTAGTAATGTCTTGGATTCGATATTATGTAAACGATTTAGATAAACACGTCTTTATTATCAGCAGTAGGAATCCTTTTGCACTTTAAATTTTTAGTTTTTAATAACAATGATGTTAGCACGATCAATGGCATCAATAATTTACATTTTTCACTTATAAAAATTGAAAACAGGACTTCAAATTGTTCTGACATTGTTATATAGAGGCTTTTGAATGAATATTTACAATATACGCTTTTGTATAAAGACCATATTGCTTTTTACAAGTCAGTCTTTAGAATATTTGAGATAATTTGATTTAATCAATAAACAAACATTTCTCTTTTTAAATTAAAAAAATACTTATCGGATTTTTTTATTATAAATAAATATGCATAACAATAACAATTTTAATAAAATTCAGTCGCAAATTCAAACGATTAATTAAACACAAATTTCAATAACGGAAACGACGTAAAACGGAAGAAGGCAAATAAGCACTGTTGGGTGATTGAACAGGTCCTTGGCGGATGGGAGCTTGTGAAGCAAAGTTAAGTACAGGTGCAACACCACCATTGTGGTTGTGAGAAGTACCTCCCAAAGAATCGTATTGACTTTGAATGGCTCTTTGAGCATTAGCAGCATCTTCTGGAGTGCGGTATTTGACAAAGTGTACTTCGGGTTTGTTGTTCTTGTTGTTGCTAAGCGCATTAAATTTGTCAGCCAAGGCAGATAAATCATGTTGTTTGTTAAGAACATAGATTGCGGTCTTTTGTTGGGCAGCTTGTTTCGCCAAAGCAAGAACAGCGTTTTCGTAACCCTTGTTTTCAGGATTCTTAATAAACACAACACGTAGGTTCTTTTTCAATGCACCAGCTATCTTTTGGGCAGCCTCTGGATCGTCGAAAGCACCTTCGGGTGCACTGAATGTATAAAATTCTTTCTGATATTCTGCAGCTGTGGCGGGAGCATCATAAGAAGCAGGCTCAGAAAATCCACCACCAACACCAGAGCCAGGTGTAAACGATAATCCTGAGCTTGAGTGTTCGACAGGTCTGTAATTGTAGCCCAATTTATCGGCACAAGCCACTGCCACCAAACACAATACAATAAAAGTGCGCATTTTAATTATCAGACGTTTTCGCGTTAAACTTCACTGAAATGTTCTTTTAGAATAACCTAATTCTTCTAAGATTATTTACTTTTTATACTTATTAATATTTTTGGTACATACTTCTACCATTAATTGTTTTTGGCATATGTAGTTTTTACTTGGTAGTTAATTAATTTTGATAAACGATAATCAGGTTACTTCTCTAGTTTGTTAAATGATGCCGCATTTATGTTTATCCACCGCATTCCGCAATGATTCATCCATCAATTATGACGAAGTCTTTGTTGTTGTTCAATGGTATTTTATTTTTTTATTACCGTTTTTATTTGTTTATTAATTAATGCATAATAATTATGAAAAAATATTTAATAACTTTGCCAATGTCCATAAGTTGTAACATAATAGAAACTAATTAATATCGAACATAAAACCATAAAAGCGAACGAAACAAAATTTGAATAAATTTAGTTGTAGTAGAAAAAAAAACATTTTAGTTTTAAATTAAATTAAAAAGTTTTTGTTTGGTAAAACCCAAATCATGTTTTAGGAAATTATTAATAAAGATGATCATTTATTAAACCATGACAATTTAATTTTAAAACAAATATTTTAACAACTATTTTTTTTTTGATATAATCAAGAAAGGAAGTCATGTTTGTTCGATTAATAACGAAAAATGTTGCACTCTTCTGAGTGATGAAGGACTAATTACCTGTTATTACTAGTAATGACCTATAGATTTAGCTATATGTGAATATTTTTAATACACCTTTAGATAAAGATTCAGGTAGTAAGGTTTGCTTCTAGGTTTTAATTCTATTTGCCCGATACATAATACCATAAGTTCAAAAAAGTGAAAAAGCTATAAGATTTTGATTTTGCTATTTTTTTATTTTTTGGTAGGCAAAATACCACAGCACTGCCTTATAGCCAATACTGTCCTGATATTAAAAGGCTATTTTTTAAGTCAATTCCCGCACCGAGCGCAATTTCTAAAATGCTTTTGTTCGTTATTTTTACTTCTAAAATTTTATTTTTAAATTTTTATATAAACGCAAACGCGATTTGTTAGTAATTTCATAACAGGGATTAAGAGAAGAATGTTCTCTTTAAGATAGTGTAATACAAATGCAAAAACGTTGGCAAAAATATTTACTTTTCTCATACAGAAAAAGTAATATTTATACAAAACTTCATCGCCTTTGGTGTGGGAACTTTTTTTACGATAGCGAAAAAATAGTATCATATTCCTTAACATCTCTTCACACCCTACTAGGTCTTGCTATGGTATTTTGGATATTTGCAAAAATTGCAAAAAGTCATAACTATAGTATACATACATATATGTAAGTTTCTCATACAGTTTCAAATTTATATATATTCTAAATCCTTATAGGTAGCAAAAAATATAATCCTGCTCCACCCTATATATATGTATATATAACAATATTTATCCCCATTTTCTTAATGTCTTATCGAAACGATAGATTGACAGATTAACATACAATAATATAGCTAAGCAGTGGTGCAGTGAGTAGAACTTTTGACTAACAAACCGAAGTCCTTGGTTCGTATTCTCGCTGGCATTTTTTATTATTAAAAAATAAAACAACTTACTAAACAACTTCTCTGTACGAGAAATTGAAAGTACTTTTTTAACTCCTTATTTGTAAGCGAGCGTGGAAGTACTTGCCTCCAATGACATCACCGTTTTAAAATAATGACTCAAAATGCTAATGAAGAAGAAGGTTTTATTAGCTTTTTAACTCATTTCCTTTTAATGTAAGTTTTTTTTTTCAGGCAGAATATCTACCGGTTAAACGATAACCGGTTATAAAATTCAAATATATAACAAGTAAGAGTGTTATATTCGGTTATGCGGAATCTTATATACCCACCATCAAATTGTATGCCGTAAAAGGAATGTTCTACTGTAAACATCAGGAAGATCAGGCTTAAGTCAATTATGTACGTGATCTTCGAATTAACAAAATATTAATTTTTAAAAACAATTTTTTTTGTCAAATTTTTTAACTATGAACATATATGGACGGTTTGTCGTAGAATTTGGTATAAAGATTTCGAGTCGTATAACACTTATTCGTTTCGAATTTCATTGCTGTTCTTGTATTTTTAATTCAGTCATAAGCGTAAAAGTAATTATCTGAAGGGGACCTTTTATGAGGTAGGGATAATTATGAATCGATACCCAAAAAAATTTGTACATAGATTATGTTTTGTTGGCTATGGTCAGCTATAGACCAATCCTCATAAAATTCGGAATGAAGAATTATAATAAATATCTTTTTATGGCGAGTACAACGATTATGGTGGATTTATATATGAGGGTCAATTGTGGACCGATCCACATTTTAATTAATACAAGACTTGTTTATGACAAAATGCAACTTTTTTTAAGCCAGTAATTAGCGTTAAAGTAAATTTCTCAAGGTAACCTTATATGGGGGTAGGATCAA